CAAGGGGCCAACATGGCAACAGGAACACAGGGTAAAATCCTTCCAACCATTTTAACAAAGTTATCAGCTATGCCTGTCAAGCCAGCCCAGCAATCCCATTGTCAAAAAAACTACATAGGATAAATTCGGATCAGAAGGCACTGATGTCAAGTTGGGCAAGTACAAGGAGGGAGGCAGATTTTAGTTTAACTCAAGAGTCTGATCCTTCAGTGCTCAAGGGTATATGTAGTGCAGCAGGATTAGACAGACCTAATTTCAATCACTTGTCACTATCTTGGTAACCCTGAATAAGATGCCCAAACTCCTTCTTTCTTCCATTAAAATATAATGGATACCTAATAAGTAACAGCCACAGGACTAGGTTCTTGGAATATAATGCTGGAAAAACATAGACCTGGAGTCAGTTTTCATGGAACCGACAGTTTGGGGAGATTGACATTTAAAAAATAAATATAAACCATACAAAATAAGAACAAGTTATAAACATTAAAGGGTTACAACATGATTAGACTCAAATTTTTAACCTATCAATCTGACTTCCTGGAAGACCGGGTTGGACGTAAAATCAACATGAATTCAGAGAGACCAGCTAAGAGACTACTACAATTCTTTAAAGGCAATAGATTGAAGGGACCTGTGCCAAGGTGATAGCTTAGGCTAATTAGGTGGCAGTGAAAACTGAGATGCCAAATAGCTAAATAGTAATGTGACAACCATGGAAAGAGAAAAGGGAAATACCTAGGCAAATGGTAAAGAAGATGGCTCAGACTATCATGTTAAGTGAAATAATCCAATCCCCCAAAACCAAAGGTTGAATGTTCTCTCTGATATGCAGATGCTATCTCACAATAAGTGAGGTGGGAAGAACAGAAGTTCACTGGATTAGACAAAGGGGAATGAAGGGAAGGGATGGGGGGATGGGAACAGGAAAGACAGTAGAATGAATTGGACATAACTTTCCTATGTTCATATAAGAATACACAACCAGTGTAACTCCACGTCATGTCCAACCACAAGAATGGAAAATTATACTCCAGGTATGTATAATACGTTAAACTACATTTTACTGTCATGTATATGAGAAAGAACAAATAAAAAAAAGAAGATGGTTCAGGTTTGAGCTCAGAGGAATATTGAAGTGAAAAAAAAAAATTGGCAAAGGAAAATGAGAAATATCAGAGGTAAAGAAAACCAAGACAGAATAAAGTTACCAAAGCCAAGGGGGAAAGCTTCTTAAGAAGGGAATAGTTAGTTGAGTCAACTCTACTGTTAACTGAGAAGTCCACCAGGATTTGTGGCACAGTCATTAGTGACCCGAATAAAAGCTCTTTCAGAAGCAGGGTATGAACAAAGGCCACATTAGAATGGGCTACAGATGAATGAAAGGTGATCAAACAGAGACAGGAACTTTTTAATTTTTTTCTTTCCCAGCCCTGGGGATTGAACCCACAGACTCTCCCCCACTGAGCTACCTCCCCTAGCCCTTTTTCTTTTTTTCATTTTGAGACAAGGTTTCTTAGTTCCAGGAAGGCCTCAAATGGACAATCCTCCCAAATCATTGGGATTACAGGTATGTGCTGCCATGCCTGGCTAAGACAAGAACTTTCTCTATGTTTAGCTGTGAATGATAGGAAATAAGTTAGTAGAAAAAGGAGAAAGTGGGTCAAGGATTTTTTTAATTAAAAGACTGTTTAAAGGGTTAATAGGAAAAGCTGGTAGAGATTAGAGAGGTAAAGTAACTTGCTCAAGTGTATATAACTAATTAGATTAGAATTTAAAACTGGGGGTGTCTGACTCCAAACACTTAGTTCTTTCCACCACTTTAAGTAGAGATGGTGAGTAGGCAGCTACTCCTGTTGTGATATAATATGGGTCCTCTAAGTTCCCAGGAGGTAAATCGGGGGCACAGCAACTGGCTCAGAAAAAAGTGTGAGGGAGGACATATGGACCAATGCAACACAAAATACGTGTCACTCCCTTGCCTTCCCAATAACTCTTTCAGAGGAAGAAGTCCCAGAAACAGGCTTATTTCACAATCTTTTACCCTCCACCACAGCATGACCTTTGTTGTAAATGGAAAGGGTACTGACTAGCTGTCACAAGCTTATGATCTCAGTGACCAGAGGGAAAGAACAGATTCCATCCAAAGTCCCCTGATTCAATTTAAGAAGAGTTACTTTAGTTCACATTACAGACTTCTCCATGTGAGGCAAAACAAAGAGTTGTTCTACACTAAATAGGGTAATGTAGAATAGTAAGAAGGAATTGAGAATGTTTATGAACACAATTGAAAAAGCTCAGGGTTTCATTTGTAGGAACACTGAAATTAATAAATAAAGGATCTCTTCAGGTCAAACCATTCTCAGAGACAGATGTGCTGCAGATCAAGAGACAAATCAGATCTAGTTCTTAATGTAATCTTGAGGACTGGTTAGGGAAACACCTAAAAAAATCAACTATGACTCTGGCACAGGAGATGTGATCTCAAAATGTGCAAAAGCCTATAAAAAACTATTAGGACTGAAAATGTGATTATGAATATACCAAGGAATATTTTTAGGGCCGGGGTTGCGGCTCAGTGGTAGATCTCTTGCCTAGCATATGTGAGGCACTGGGTTCGATTCTCAGCATCTCAGATAAATAAATTCAACTATAAAAAGGAAGGAAATTCTAACACATGCTACAACATGGAAGTACCCCGAAGATATTCCGTCAAGTGAACTAAACCAGTTACAAAAAGGCAAATACAATATTATTTCACTCATGTGAGGTGCCTAGAGAAGTCAGATTCATAGACACAGAAAGCAGAATGGTTATGCCAAGGGCAAAGGGTAGGGGAGTTAGTGTTTGATAGATAAAAAATTTCAGTTTTGCAAGATGAAAAAAGTTCTGGAGGTTGGGCACAGCGGGGCACACCTGCAACCACAGCTACTCCAGAGGCTGAAGCAGGAGTATTACAAATTCAAGCCAGCCCAGGCAATATACCGATATCCTGTCTCAAAAAAAAAAAAAAAAAAGTCTGGGTATGTGGCTCAGTGGTAGAGTGCCCCTGGGTTTGATCCCTAGTACTAAGGGGGAAAAAAAAGTTCTGGAGATGGATGGCAGTGATGGGTGCAGAATAACAATATAAATAAATATAAATGTACCTAATGTCACTGAATTCTACACTTAAAAATGGTTATGATGGCAAATTTTATATTATATGTATTTTACTACAAATAACCTACAAAATCTATTATGGAGACCATGTGAATAGAGATCACATCCAGATAGGAAACTAGAGAACAATTCAGGGGTTGATTTCAGTCTTAACAATGACTCGGTCTCCCAAGACTAACTCAGAATCTCTCAAGAACTACTTCAATCTCTGCCAAGGGCATACCCAATGACTTAATGACCTCCTACTAGGCCCCACTTCTTAAAGGTCCTATAAGCTCAGCCCCATCATACTGAGTACCAAGCTGCCTACACATAAATCCTTGGGGAACACACTCAAACCATATTCAGACTAGAGCAGCTGACTAAAAAATGATCCAATACACACTGCTTTCAATTTGATCCAGTTTAAGAAAAATAAAATTAGCCTCATCATACTGACAAACTTTTGGCCTAAAATTGTACTTAGTTACCAGAAAAATAATGGAAATATTCATTCTTGGAATGGGTTTATTTGGCTGGAATGTGAGGGGATGAAACTAAGATGGGGAGCACTTCTATACTATTTAAATAATTATAAAGAGAACACATCATTATTATAAATAAAAACCAACAAAAATATATTTCCATTTTGATAAAAAAAAAACTAGGGATGTGCACTTGGGTCTCTCAGATTGACTGTTACTTCACCCATATTTTAAGCTTGAAGTATCTCTCCATGGTCGGCACCTAGTCCTCCTTCAGTATTTCCTACTCTGCAAAAAGCACTACCATTCAAACACTGCTCGGTCACAAGCACCAACTCTGACACCAACATTTTGTATTTTTTCCTTCAATCTCCAGAGTCAAACTATATCCAAGCCTTATCAAACTTACCTTCAAAATACTTCTCTCCCTTTTCACTATCTCCACCATAATCAGAGTCACCTTTGTCTTGCCCAATAACAGCCAGGATCTTTTCAAGTGGTCCAGTCGAACATATATATACCCGTCTCTAATTATGTTTTCTACCCAGCAGCCAGTTAATCTTTGTTTAATGCAAGGCTGATAAAGTCATTCATCTCAGCCTCCCCAGTATCTTTAGTACAATAATTAAAATCTTTTAATTTAGCCAACGGGGTTTTTTCCTTGCCCAGCCACTATTTCTCCAGATACTTCCACCATATTCTCAGCTGTACAACCACTTTAGCCTTAGTTCCTCAAAAATGTTGACCCTTGCTCCCCAAACAGGACTCATACACATACTATTTTCTCTACATGAGACACATTTCATCTACTTAACTCCTACTTATTGTTCAAGTCAGCTCAACTTCTTTAGGGAGGCTATCTTTGAGCCCTAAGAATAGGTCAAATGTGTGTCACTATTATATTTGTTGATAGTATCATGAAACTTTCCTTCATGATTTTTTAATTAAAGTTGTGATTTTATGCTTATTTGTGTGTTACTTTAATACCCATCTTTCCCACTAGATACTAAACTTTATTTGCACAAGGACATTTATTTTTTTACACCTTTGTAATTTTAGCACACAGTACAGTGTCCACGTAGACAGAAGCATTAAAAAAGTGTGTTTCCAGTACTGCCAAAAAAAAGGTTTTTGTTCCATGATTATTAACCCCCTATTAGGATGTTAATGATCCTAAAGTTAAAAATTACAGGATATCTGACATCTGGCTTTCCAAACTTTAAGGAAGGAATTTCCATGCATACTACCCATGTCTTGAAGAATTTCATATGGCTTATCTTATCCCTTAGTGCTTTTCTCTTTTCATCAAGCAAGAGATGCCAGCCAGAACAATTTGGAAGTGATAGGAGGCAGTATTAAAAGCACAGGTAAACTCACCCCTATAGTAGACGCCATGTAATCTGCACACATTTCTGCAAAATCCCGCTCAAGAACTCCATAGTAGAGACCATAGAAGAGGAGAGAAATGCCAAAGTCCATGGCATCTTCTGGTTTAATCCTATAAGGAAAGCAACACAGTCAATAAAACCTGTCCTGAGACACAACTGCTCTGGATTACTACTTTGGGACACACAAGGCAGGATCACTCAAAAGCTAGAGCCAAGTGTTGGCAAATTATGATCAAATTCTGTTTGCTATCTATTTTTAATATGACCCACTGACATCTTTTAAAGAAGTTAATTAGCACTGTCAGCTACAAAGACCAAGCCAGAGTATGCCCTAGCTGCCTATGTGTTGGGGACTCTACTGGTGGCAACTACTGGACACCAAATGTTGGAATTTCAGTGTAGAAGTTGGCAACTCACTGAGTTGCTTCATCTTGAGCCAGTTGCCCAAGTTGAAATGGCTGAGCCCTCCAAAAGAAGGGCACAATATGCCTGGATTTAGTGCCATAAGAGCAGAAACTCAAAATGGTAGCCAAATACCGTTCTGAGACTGTTTCAACTGATGGCAACTGGGTACAAACTACGCCCCACCTCCCTCCTGAGATGTGCCTGAGATCCCCAGGAAGACAGGGTAATAGAAGATCAGTGTTTCCTGTCTTGGTATATTATGAGTATTTATATAATATTCTAGATTTTTGCATATTATCCCAAAGAAATTAAATGTTTACATACCAGCTACCAGAAAAATTTAATTTGCATCTAACCATATTCTGCATAATGTCATGAAAGTTAAATTTTGGTCCAATTCTATTTACTAAGAATAAAGATCTTTATAATATTAGGAAGTTTATTTTTTTAATATTTCCAACGACCAAAAGTTTGAAACCTTGAGTCTATAAATATTATAGAAAACTACCTTAAAATATTTGTACAAAGAACTACATGTGCTCACTTAAAGTTGTAAATTATATTCATCATAGAAAGTTGAATTTGTTCATCAAACTTATAACTCACTAACTAGACTCCTGGTTTTTACACCAATTAACATAATCAGCAGTATAAAAATAGTCAAGATTTTCAATGCTGTTCTCCTCCTTGTACAGTTTAAGCAAGTAAAAAGAAACCAACCATAGAAAAAATACCTTTCAGCCAGGTGCCATAGCACACTTCTGTAATCCCAGTGGTTCAGGAGGCTAAAGCAAGAGAATCATTAGTTCAAAGCCAGCCTCAGCAACTTAGTGAGGCCCTTAGCAACTTAGTGAGACCCTGTCTCTAAATAAAAAATAAAAAAGGGCTGTGGATATGGTTCAGTGGTTAAGCACCCCTGGGTCCAATTCCCACTAAAAAGGGAAAAAGAAAAAATACCATTCAAACAAAATTCAGAATCTTTTTAAATTTTGTTTACTTCATTTTGTTTTTTTGAATAGGGTCTCACTAAGTTGCCTAGGATGGCCTTGAACTTGTAATCCTCTACCTCAGCCTCCCACATAGTTGGGACTACAGGCATGCACCACTGCATCCAACTATCTGAATCTTGACTTGTTTTTTTAACCACACAGGTTAGGAAGATACCTGGAAATATCTTTGTTTTCTTTTGATGAGATGTTTTAGACTCTACAGTGATGAATTCCTCTAAACCTTTCTGGAGCCTGTTTATTCTTTCAGCCTGTATTATCCCTGGAAGAAAGGATTCCATGGGTGTCCTCTCACTACATAAAGTAATACTTATTTATACTTATTCTAACAAACTCCTTTTGGTTTCAAGATAGTCCCACCTATAGTATATACTGGGTCAATTGCCTTTCCATCCATGAATCTAAATTTGAGTCCTAAATTTCCTTAGCTTCAGTGTACTATCCCAGGCTTAGGACCCCCTTTGATAAATAGCCCAGTCACCATTACTTCATCCAGGAAACCATATTTCCACCCTCGTTTGACCTATTAACTCCTTGTACCCGCCAATTTCCAAGCTCAAAATTCTTGGCTTCTGCCTCAATTAGGGGTGGGAGGACTTGTAAACAGATAGAGAGCTTTTAGAGAGCTGAGGACAAAATAAAGCAATACCTAGAGATGTACCTCAGGAAGTGACACAGCCATGGTGTGATAGTACAAAATTAAAAACAACTTAAGTGTCCAATAATGGCACAGGACTTGAGCGTCCACAGGCTAATTTCCTAGAATTGCTTCCTCATAAGTCTCACAAAGGTGGAATGTCAGATGTGTTATAGGCAATGCCACCTATATATTAAATACGACCTGTGATTGGTACACTGCATCTGGGATATTCTGGACTGGATGTGTTCCTAGGGGGATGCAGCTCACAGACCAAGATGGCTCCCACATCCATCAATATTAACTGGTTCCATCATACCTGAACACTCAGACTACTGTGAAGACTCCTGCAAACACTGCCTATTTTGTATCATTCTAAGTGGACCTGTCGCTAGGTGTAGCCAACTGTGGTCACATGAGTTCAACTGTTTAGCCCGAAGTTTGGCAAACCTTTTCTGTTAAGGCCAGACAATAAATATTTTAGGTTTTGCAGCCTATATGGTCTCTGTCACAACTATTCAACTCCAATGTTTTAGGCAAAAATAGCCATAGATGATAAGCAAACTGACTATGCATGATTGAAGCATGACTATGTTGCAATCAAACTTTACTTTATAAAAGCAAGAAGTGGATTCATTTGGTCCAAAGGATGTATTCTGCCAGTCCCTGGTATAGTTGAATATAAGGCATCTCAAGCAGAGTGGATATTGCAGTAACTAGCATGTGGACCAGGCAAATTGTTGTTAGGGAATTACGGGTAACTGGTTATAATCATTATTAAACTTACTTTTGTTATAATTTCCCACTAAAATACATATTATTTTGGAAAATATAACCAAAGATTTGAGACTCTGAGTTTGTATTATTCCAAATATTCCTTGCTTTCTGCCAGTACAAATTACAGAAGGCCTGTCATCTCCTTTCTCCCTACTGTACCCACGTCTCCTATCCTGGGTGTCATGTTCCTTTGTTAATATTCAAGACTTACTACAGCAAGAAAGGACATCTCACTAGCCGCTCTTCCCTAAACATCAGCAAGACCAAAAGCAAAAGGTACTCACTTGAATAATAAATTAAGACCAAAGAGAGTAAACATGACCGCCATGTAGCCAATGATGCCAGTGGCATAGCTGATTTTATAGATCAACAGGAACCATTTATAAACCAACCTGGAGAAAGGAAATAAAATACTCAGTAGAGCTGATTCAGAGACACCGGCCTCCAGATCTATTAGACCACCAGAATTTCTTATTCTTTTTTTTTTTAATATTTATTTTTTAATCGTAGTTGAACACCATTCATTCATTTATTTATTTATTGTGGTGTTGAGGATCCAACCAGGACCTTGCAAGTGCTAACCAAATGCTCTACCGCTGAGCCACAACCCCAACCCCCAGAATTCTTTATTTTCATATAAATAGGGATATCCGGTCTATTTTTAAGACTTATTGAGCAATTTGTGTTACTGTTCAAGGGTGTTCACTTCCTCAATTGCTAAAACATCTTCGGGGAACTACTGCTTTATATTTTCCTGGTCTAAGACCAAGCAAAAGAAAGAGATTCCTAAAAAGAAGTTTCAGTCTCATAAGAAAGGGCACAGCTGATCTAAGACAGCTATGTCATCTCAAATTTAGATTACTTGGGTGAGGAAGTGAAACCTAATAACTCTCAAAAGATTGATGGGGAAGGCTAGTTGTTCTTGTCAGGAAAGAGAATTCAAGGAAAGATGAAATCACTGGTGGAATTAGCTAAGTACCTTTGATAACTCAAATCACTTTGAGACAAGTTTACTTCTTTGTAAAATGGGAAAACGACATTACCTTTCTCACCTCATTGACACAGCCCATTTCTTGGTACAATATGCTCATTAAACGCTCAGTGAATAAATGAGGATGTTTATAAAAGTGCTTTGAAACTGTACAGCACTATCAAATGTTAGTTATTATAAAATATTTCCATACTATTGACACATTTTAAAAATCATTTCATTTAGAAGTCAATGCTGTTTGTCAGTTGGTGGCTCTTAACATTTTGTTTTATTACATTTTTTCTTTATATCACCCTATATGAGGTAGCAGTTATCCCATTTTTTTTTTTAAGTTGTATATGGACACGATGCCTTTATTTATTTTATTTATGTGGTGCTGAGGATTGAACCCAGTGCCTCACACGTGCTAGGCAAGCACTCTACCACTGAGCTACAACTCCAGCCATCTGGCTCCAGGACCTGTACCCTTTATCATGGCACAGAGAGGGACTTCTAGATCACCAACTTTCCTTTGTACATTGAAACTCTGAAGACCAGAGAAAAGCTTGCAGTAAAGTGGAACATAAGAAGAACAGAAAGAAGAGCAATTTGCAACTTTGAAATCGTTTTAAGTCAGGTGGTCTCAACTTTGATGCTGGCCAGTTCCCGTTAAGCTATCCTGGACCTGTGCACACCTCTCATAGCACTTACCAACTGCACTGCAACAGATGCTTTCTCATCCATCTCCTCCAATAAACCGAGCACTCCTTGAGGGCAGGGACCATGTCTTATCCAGCTCTGTATCCCCAGCGCTCAGCACAGGGCCTGGCACATAGCAGGTGCTTATTGAATGAATGAATGAGAAAAATCTCTTTTTCTGTCAAGTAAATGTTAAATGACCTCACAAGCTGGTTGGGAGGATTAAACAAGAAATGCATTTGGATAAAGTACAAAGAAGTATATAGGCAACAGCCCTTTGTAATCCAAGAAAGAATTACTGTTTATTAGAAAATTGCAAATTTGCTCATTCATTCATTCAACCAAAATTTATAAAGTAGGCTTCTATGTGCCAGCCCTTGTGGCAAGGTCTGGATATACAGTGACCAACAAAATAGATACGGTTCCTGATCTTATACAAACAGTTCAGTGGCGGAGACAGACGTTCAAAAAAATATTTTGTTATAAATTGTGATAAGTTCTATGAAAGAATAGAAATTATAGGGCCTTATGAGAGAATAAAATGGAAAATCTAATTTAGAGAGCAGAAGGGTTCACAGAAAATAACATTTAAAATGAGACCACAAAGATCACCAGGACTTGCTTTTTTGTGGTACTCAGAATTGAACCCAGTGGCACTCTGCCACTGAGCTACATCCCCAGCTCCCCAGCCCTTTCTTTCCTTTTCTTTTTTTTAATTTTTGAGATAGAGTCTTGCTAAGTTGCCCAGGCTAGACTTGAACTTGCAATCTTGCCTCAGCCTCCCGAGTAGCTGGGATTGCAGACATGTGCCACCACACCCCACTATTTGCTCTTGATATAAACAGACCTTGGATATAACCATAAAATAAGCTACAATATCTGAGGTTTTTAAATCTGTGAATAGGGGTGTGGGTCTCCCAATCAGCTTGTTTTAGAGGGGGCCCTGCACCAAATTCTTTTGGCAGACAAAAACTGCAATTTTTTCAGTCTAAACCCATCTTCCTCTCATGCATTCTAGCATATTAGCTTCAGGAAGCCCAAGCTCTTCCCCACTGCCTAAACTCTCACCTTGGAGTTGTCTGCACTAGAGGTTTCCGTGTGGCTCGGAAGGTGACGAAGGCTGTGACAGCAGAGAAGAAGATCCAGATCACTAGGAATCTCCACCAGTGCAGCTTCACTGTGAAATAGAGGGGAACAACCCACATCTGAAAGAGGGTCACCATCTGAAACACAAACACAAGCACTTCAGCTCTAGCCAGCTCCCTCTGCAGCTCTACCTGCAATTGCAGATAGCTTGTTTTCTACTTTAGCCTGATCCTATCCCACATTTCCAGTTTTGAATAAAGGCAACCCCACTAGTGATCAAAGTTAAAAACCTGGAACCATGCCTGCGTCTTCCCTTTCATCCCTCATTCAACTGTATCTTGAATATATTCTTTCCTTTCCACTTAAGCTCTTGCTATCTCTTGCCTGGCTGAGATAGCAAGAGCAACAACTTCTTTGTTAGTCTCCATGCATCCAGTAAGGACAGAATGGAGGAGATACCAGTGGTAGGGCATCTCTTACCACTCTCTATGCCTTTAAGTTGTCCGACCTTCCTTTCTGCCTGATAATAACACAACCAAGATACATGAAGCCTTCAGTCTCCTTTCCAGTGAGAATTAGCCATGACTTCTAGTTCCCCAAAAGTATTTTCTTTTCTACCATCATTACAGTGCTTACCCAGATAATAAGGGGGGTTTAAAATTCATTTGCTACCTATATAAGCTGCTTAAGGGCAATGACTTGGCCATAATCATTCATTTCCTTTAAGCTAGTAAACTGGCACAGTACAGGCCCTCAATAAATTTGGATAAATAAATAAAAGGAAAATAAGACTGGGCTGGAGTAAGATTCCCTAAGATGGAGACACAGTTGTTTTTTTTAAAGAGTGTCTTTTTATCTTCCTTCAGATGTGTAACTTATACTTGTTATCTCAAGAGTTACAAATACATAGAACAATTCTAATTCTAAAAGTTTGGAGTAATCACCAATCTTTTGCTCTCCAATGCATCATAACTTCCTTCCTCAACTACCTTGCTTTAACTGGATGTCACTATTCTCAGATGAGCAGTAGATATTTTTTTTTTTTAAAAGGTAGTACTTAATGGAGGTTTTTCTTCCTGAAGTCACCAAATAAAATTAAAGGACACTAATTTTTTTTTTTTAATTTAAAAAAGGAGAGCTGTAGAAAGGAAAAGTAGTAGCTAGTTTCCTGATGTTCCATAGTAAACTAAAAAAGTATGTGTCCTTGGGGATTTCTAGACCAGTGAAATCCAACAAGCCACATAAATAATTTAAATTTTTTTACTAGTTACATTAGAAAAACAGTTGATATTAATTTTAATATAGTTTATTTAACCCATATGTCCAAAATATCATAATTTCAACATGCACAAAATATTAAAGTTATTTTTTTTTGGTGTTGGGGAATGAACCGTGGGCCTTGAACATACTAAATATTGTGCTCTATCACTAAGCTATACCACAGCCCCAAAATATTAAAATTATCAAAGAAATATTTTACTTTTTTGTACTTTTAAATCTGATGTGTATTTCATATTCACAATACATTCTAAGCACTCAATAGCTAGGTGTGACTGGTGGCTAACACTGGAGAGTACAGTGTACAGCTAGCTTCTTTTGAGTGAGTGGTTGTCTGTAGCTATCATTCCCTCACTCACTGCTCTGCAAGAAAATGCCTGAGTTTTTTAGTGCTATTTTACATATAAAAAGAGAAAGGGGATAAAAGGTGAGAAGAGAATGGTGAGCAGTACCACACTGCTTTAGAGTTTCCCATTCTGTGAGTCAAAGAGTGCTGACTGCTGGTCAGTGAATCATGCAAGCCACAATAACAATTCTACTGCACTGGAACCCACAACTGTTCTTCCAAATAAAACACTCTAGAATATTCTGGTCTTAAATACAAAGTGTGGATGCACCAAGCTCCAGGTGCTTTTCTAGGAGATACTGGGAGAAAACCAGGAAAATATATCACAACAATCAACTACGGATTAACAAGGGGACAAACAACCAGAATCATATTTCTAAAAGGGAATGGAAGGAGGTTCTTTGTTCTTCACATCGTTTGCTTAAACAGGCTCATGCAGTTGTTAACTAGACAGTAAGCCCAGAGACTGGAGAAGAATTAAATCACACAATCTGGCCACATTTGTCTTAAGAAAGAACAGGACTTCTAGTCTCCATCCAGTTTTTATAAAAACCAGCCTCTTCCACATTGCCCATCAATGTTATCTACAGCACGTTCTGAGGGGGTATCTGAGGTCAAGATAATTTTCTCTGTACAAGCTGCAGCTCTGTACATTTCAGATGAAGTGAGAGGTAGAGAACTTGGATTATATTCTGAGTTGGAAAAAGACATAATTAGGAGTTAAGTTTGGGTATCAGTATAAAAGGAATAAAAAATCTTGTCTTATTTTTTAACTATCAGTCTTGAAATTTTAGGGTGAAAAAGCCACTTTAAATCACATCATGAAAAAGAGAGAAAGAAAATAGGAGAGGAGGACAAAGAGACAGGGAGAGAGAGAAGACAGAAGAGAGAGAAAGAAAGAGAAATTTAGAGATGGAATTAAGCCCTTTGAAGCCAGATGGCCTAGCAGAAACTAGTAGACCTGGATTCTAGTTCTGTTCTGCCTCCAACTCATCAAGGTAACCCAAGGAGGTCCTTTCCCTTTGAAGGAAGACTTGATTCTCAAACCCCTTCAAGTTCTAACATCTGAAAGTCCTGTTAAGCAGCCCTGTATCTTAGACTTCCTGGGAAAGTGGAGACATAATACTTATGGCATTTTGTCTAGTAAATAAGTTGAAACTTCATTAAGGAAGGCATTTTTAATGGCTAGCTTGGCAAAGGCAGGGACTCTGGTGCCACCTGGTGGCAATGCTTATACAGACACATTTGGTTAACAGTTCTTTTAAACACTTGTACCTAATACTATGGAAAAAACAAAAATAATGGCAAGCCTCACCCTGACATCTCTTCCAAGAACTTGGGTGATGAGACATAAACACATAAATTAGGCAGTGAAGCAAAGCATCAAATACTGACATGGGAGTTCAAAGGAGAGATGCAGCAGTATGTGCAGGAACTATTATACCAGTTTCTGGAAGAGGCAGAGTGCTGTTGGTTCTGAAGGAGGTTTGGGTTTGGGCAGGTGGACAGAGAAAACAAAAGCTATTTCTACTTTATCTGAATCTGAAAATATGAAGTTGAAACTAAAGACAAGCCTGAAACCAATTCACTGATTCTTTCAGCAAACATTTAGTGAGAGACAATCCCAGCTTTTCTGACAGAAGATAAAAATTATCAACATCCTACTTATCTCTCCACAAGGCTCAACAGTATAGAAGATGAAATTGGATGCTAACAGTAAGAGCTCATCCATATTTGTTGTAACTGCCTTTTGGTTTTACCTTTTGGTTTTAGTTGAGAGGGTGTCATCACCAGAAGGTATATTGGTGGAGATGAAATTGACACCTCATAATTATTTCTAATCCATGTGAAGACAGACAAGACAATCTTCAGATCCCTTTAATCTTAGAGGAACTAGAATTCATAAAATGAGTTCCCATGCACCAGCTGCCTTCCAAGTCTTTCTTGGCTTGTAACTTTCAGGATTCTCATCACCTCTGCACTCCCCATGTTGTAGGCAGGGATCACCTACCATGGTTGAAAAGGAATATATTGTGAATGAAATGAAAACTTCAAGTCCATGTAATAGAATTAAGAAAGAGACAGTTAACAGAACAATCTGCTTGAAAAATGCTGAGAAATGGACTGAGGTCACTTAGAGAAAATGTTTCCAATGTGTTCCATGGCTTTGCTCTGTATTTTCATGAATAGTTTGGCTGAAGAACCTGCTTACAGGCAGAGATTGTGGTTCAGCTGTAGAGCGCTTGCCTACATTTGCGAGACCCTGGGTTCAATCCTTAGCACCATATAAAAATAAATAAATAAATAAAACAAAAACACTTGCTTACCAAAATTTGGACAGCATAAAGCTTAGGGTGGGTGTAGGGCAAAGAGAGAGGGCGTAAACAAAGAAATAAAAGAAAAAAGACCAAAAATGAATAAAATTTATTTCTAATGCTCTAGCTACAACATTCCAGGAGCAAATAAGATGAAATAAAGAACCAAAATCACATAATGAAACCTAACTGCCCAGCCAAGTACAGGATAGGGAAGGAGTAACTTAATAGCAGCTCACATGAAACAGATCTAGTGGTTTCAGTTGCCCACAAATGGCAACAGAGTATATGCCAATAGGGCTGCTGCCAAAAAAGCCAAGACAACTTAGGCTGCTTAAGAAAATACCCAAAATAAAGGAGGAAGCAGATTACTGTTCTCTGCTTTGTCCAAGCATTCTTGGGGCTCTGGGTTCAGGTCATTGGACTACATTGTACAAAGAACACTGACAAATAAGCATAGCCATAAAATAGCTGCCAGGATTATAAACAACTGAAAACAAAATCACACAACAAACAGCTGAAGGCACTGGGATATTAGGCCTGAAGACAACTATGGAAAGGCCTGGCTATTGCCTTCAGATATCTGGAAAGCAGTACATGACCAGAAAGCAGACATATTCAATATAATTTCTATGACCTAGTAAGTCTCCATACATTGCTGGAATACTCTACAAGGCAGAAACATAGTTGGCAATTTCCTCCAATTGCACCCCTAGCAAATGGTCATCCTTATCACATAAGACAGACCATTCCATTGCTAATATATGTGCTAGATAATTCTTCCCTGATACTGACCTGAAAAATCTGCCTTTGTGTCCCTTCTCCCGAAGGGTCCAGAGAAGTACAGAGTAAATTTACTAAGTCTTAGCTAAGTCTTAGCACTTCTCTTCTAATACCTAGAAAAATGGCTTCTTTTCCAAGTCTCATCCTCGGGCAAGAGTCAATCAAGCAGCCACTTAACAAGCACTTACTGAACACTATGCTAAGGAGTGGGGAATTCAAAATTAAAAAAAAAAAAAAAAAAAAAAAAAACCCTCCCCAAGACTGTAAGTCTGCTGAGGAGAAACAAATAACTACAATTCAGCAATGTAAGTTCTATAATGGAGTAAGACACTAACAAAGGTACTTCACTCAAAGTGGGGGAACCAAGAAAAGCTTCCTAAAGGATGCCTCCTTCAAACTCTATCTTGATGGTCTA